CTCCTGACCTCGTGATCCACTGCCACAGCCTCCCAAAGTACTAGTATTACAGGTGTGAGCCACCGCGCCTGGCCTAATAATTTTTTTTTTTTTTTTTTTTTTTGAGAGGGAGTCTTGCTCTGTCACCCAGGCTGGAGTGCAGTGGCGCGATCTTGGCTCACTGCAATCTCTGCCGCCCAGGTTTAAGCAGTTCTCCTGCCTCAGCGTCCTAAGTAGCTGGGATTACAGGTGTGCGCCACCAAGCCCGGCTAATTTTTGTATTTTTAGTAGAGACGGGATTTCAGCATCTTAGCCAGGCTGGTCTTGAACTCCTGACCTTGTGACCCATCCGTCTCAGCCTCCCAAAGTGCTGGGATTACAGGCGTGAGCCACTGTGCTCAGCAATAATTTTTTATATGTCCTCTTTTCTCTATGCTAAATAAATCTTCCTTAATTTATACTCTTCCTCAATCATGTTTTTCTCCATTCTTTTGTCACTTGCTATCATGGAAAGTCTTAGCTCACGCTCTGAATTAGATAGTTTTATATTAAGATAAAACATGAGGAATTTTTTTTTTTTTTTTTTTTGAGATGGAGTCTCCCTCTGTCGCCCAGGCTGGAGTGCAGTGACACGATCTCCGCTCACTGCAGGCTCCGTCGCCTCCCGGGTTCACGCCATTCTCCTGCCTCAGCCTCCCTAGAAGCTGGGAATACAGGCGCCCACCACCACGCCCGGCTAATTTTTTTTTTGCATTTTCAGTAGAGGTGGGGTTTCACCGTGTTCACCAGGATGGCCTCGATCTCCTGACCTCGTGATCTGCACGCCTCGGCCTCCCAAAGTGCTGGGATTACAGTCGTGAGCTACCGCACCCGGCCGAGGATTATTTTTTACGTTTTTATATCAAATCCTATTTCTTTCACAGTACCTCTAGCGTGTTTTCTGACCTTGGGCATAGTGATTCTGTATTTATTTCTTAGATTTCAGTTTAGCTGTTTGAAAATAATAGTAGCTTAAACAAGAGAATTTATCTTGCACGTAAAGTCTGTGTAAGTAGTATGGGACTGCTGTGGTTACCATGACCATTAAGAACCCAGGTCCTGGCCAGGCGTGGTGGCTGACGCCTGTAATCCTAGCACTTTGGGAGGCCGGGATGGGCAGATCACGAGGTCAGGAGTTCGAGACTATCCTGGCTAACATGGTGAAACCCCATCTCCACTAAAAATACAAAAAAATTACCCGGGCATGGTAGCAGGCACCTGTAGTCCCAGCTAATCGGGAGGCTGAAGCAGGAGAATGGCGTGAACCTGGGCAGCGGGGTTGCAGTGAGCCGAGATTGCGACACCGCACTCTAGCCTGGGCGACAGAGCAAGACTCCATCTCAAAAAATAAAAAAACCCAGGTCCCTTCAAGGATTTTTTGGCCATTCTCAACACAAGGTTTCTAACTCAGTCCATGATGACTGCTTCCCTTCCAGATATCATATCTGCATTCTAGCCAGCAGGAAGAAAAAGAGCATGCCTCCTCACCTTCAGAACCTGTCCTAGAAGTTACATACACCAGTGCTGTTTATTTCCCACTTAGTCATGTAGCCACTTGTAGAATTTATTTATTTATTATTTTTTGGAGACAAGGTCTCGCTCAGTCACCCATGCTGGGTTGCAGTGGCAAGATCATGGCTCACTGCAGCCTCAACCTCCTGGGCTCAAGCGATCCTCTCACCTCAGCCTCCTGAGTAGCTGGGACTATAGGCACAGGCTACCACACCCAGCTAATTTTTTAATTTTTTGTAGATAAGGGTTTCGCTATGTTGCTTAGGATGGTTTCAAACTCCTGGACTCAACCAGTCCATCCACCTCACCTTCCCAATGTGCTGGGATTACAGATGTGAGCCACCGTGCCCAGGCAGAATTTTCAAAGGGGCAAATATAGTCTTTATTACAGGAAGCCAGGTGTAAATGTCAAGGGTTCTGTTATTGCAGAAGAGGAGACAGACACTGGAAAACAACTCATTTATAGCTTCTACAACCATTCTTTGTCTTCTGTTCCTTTCAATTATAGCTCATTTATTTTCATTACATTGTGGGTTTTGGAGCAACTGATTCTCCAAGGAATTTCATCTTTTAGGGAAACCCCTTCTTTGAATGAAATAGTCTCCAGAAGTATAAACAAAACATATGAAAGCAAGGCTGCTTTGGTTGACAATTAGGATGGTTGAGGGAGAGTCTTGCTCTTTTCACCACCTTTACTGGCTTCTCTTCTCTGTCCCTCCACCCCCTCCTATGCCTAAGGACTGCTTAAAATACAGAGCTTGAAAATATAGCGGTTTCCCCATTTACTTACCGTTTTTAATTTTCAAAATGGCAAATTATTGCCTCTGATAATTAACCTAAGTTTGAAAGAAGTAAGGCTTTTTTTGGTGAATTCTTCATTTTGAATGTTGTTTTAGAATCTAACATCCTTTTCCTTTCATTTAATTATAACCTACTCAGTATAGATAAGAAGCTAGAAAATATAAAAGGAACTGAAATGTCTGAATCTATAATAAATTCAAAATAACCATTCACTGAGTAAATTATAACGATTATCTATGCTGAACTCAGTGTGATGCTGGTGTTCTATGCCTAAATAGAATTTACCGTGAATGTTAGAATCAAAAGCCTGCCAGCATATGTGTATCCTGTAAGCATTGGATCAGTTCTGTAAAAGATACTTTACCAAGTGTTACTTAATTACATATTATTTTTAATTCTTCTAGCTAGGACTATATCTCTTATCTTATCCTTTCATGAATATAAAGTTCTAGCGTCTTTCCCTCTGCTCTGACCCTACTATTTCCTCAGCATGGCTGGACCAGAAACAAGGGGAGAGGATACAGAAAATTTGTTTGCTGTAAAATAAATCACTGGTGGCTTTGGAGTCAACTATTTGTCTCTCTTTATATTAGATTACTGAGTAGCTTAAATTAGTTTTTAAGCTCAGTTTGTAGGTATTTTTCTGCCAAAGATAATTTTCTGTAAGGGGTAACTTACTTTCTTTTTTTTTCCTCTCTGGAAATTTAAAGACATAGTTTGGGCCGGTGACTCACCCTGTAATCCCAGCACTTTGGGAGGCTGAGGCAGGCAGATTGCCTGACCTCAGGAGTTTGAGACCACTCTGGGCAACGTGGTGAAACCACATCTCTACTCAAATACAAAAAAAAAAAAAAAATTAGCCAGGCATAGTGATGCTTGCCTGTAGTCCCAGCTACTTGGGAGGCTGAGACACGAGAATCACTTGAGCCCGGAGGCAGAGGTTGCAGTGAGCCAAGATCGTGCCACTGCACTCCAACTTAGGCTACGGAGTGAGACTCTGTCTCAAAAAAAAAAAAAAAAAAAGAGTTTGAATAGAATAGTCTGGTTTAGGAATACCACATCAGGGTTATCAATTCTTAAAATAATAAAAGTCTTGCAGGATCTTAGGGCCAGGGAACTGAACTGAATTTATTTTCACATGCTTTAAAAAAAAAAGCTTTGTATCTTATTTAACATTCCTGTTTTGTTCCCATTGTGCTCATAAAAAGTGTAGAATATAGGAGCAATTTTTAAATGGTTTTGCTTTCTGACTCATTTTGGAGTCAAACGTATATTATTTGGCATGTTAGGCCTCCTAGCAATTTTACCTGAACCCAAAGAGAATAGACAGAGACTTCTGAGCTTTGAAAAATTATGCGTTCGGGCCGGGCACAGTGGCTCACACCTGTAATCCCATTACTTTGGGAGGCTGCAGTGCGTGGGTTACTTGAGGTCAGGAGTTAAAGACAAGCCTGGCCAACATGATCAAACCCTGTCTCTACGAAAAATACAAAAATTAGCTAGGCATGGTGGCCTGCAACTGTATGCCCAGTTACTCGGGAGGCTAAGGCAGTAACTGCTTTACACAGAAGGCAGAGGTTGCAGTGAGGCAAGATGGTGCCACTGCACTCCAGCCTGGGTGACAAAGCGAGAATCCACCTAAGAAGAAAAAAAAAAAGGAAAAATTATGTATTCATAATTGTCATGATGCAGGTAAATCTATATTTCAGTTTTTCTTTACATAGTTGGCAGCATAGAGTAATAGATGATATCTTTAAAAAAAATTTTCAAGTAGCTTTGCTTTAATCTATATCCTGCTGCCATAGCAGTGAACTAGTGCTATAGAACAGAAATTTTATTTAATTTAATATATCAACAGCCTGTGTTTTTAATCTTGGTCTGAAAGCCCATGTTCATGGTAAGACATAAAAATTTGAGAAATGATTTACTTGGTGTTTTGCATCAATGTGTTACCTTCTATTTTAGGTCTATCATTTGGCAAGTGTACGCTTACGTGATCTATGTCTAAAACTGGATGTTTCAAATGAGTTACGAAGGAAGATATGGACGTGTTTTGAATTCACTTTAGTTCACTGCCCTGATCTAATGAAAGACAGGCATTTGGATCAGCTCCTCCTTTGTGCCTTTTATATCATGGCAAAGGTAATGTATACATTGGGAGAAGAGGCTGGGCATGGTGGCTCACACGTATAATCCTAGCACTTTGGGAGGTCAAGGCAAGGAGATCACTTGAGCCCAAGATTTCGAGATCAGCTTGGGCAACATGGTGAAACCTTGTCTCTGTAAAAAATGTAAAAGTTAGCTGGGCATTGTTGCTTGCACCTATAGGCCCAGCTACTTGGGAGACTGAGGTGGGAGGATCTCTTGAGCCCAGGAGGCCAAGGTTGCAGTGACCCGAGATCATGACACTGCACTTCAGTCTGGGCAATAGAGCAAGACCCCTGTCTCAAGAAAAAAAAAAGTTTCTGTACCATATTGCATATTGCTTTCTCGTGATTTATTGTGCTGCCCCAGAAGAGCATTTTACTTTCTAGTTGCTACAACGTGTTTTAAGTCATAGAATAACATATCTTGCTTGTTTTTTAAAATTCTCATATATCTGATACAATCATTTGTCTTTACCACACTGGCCACACTGGCAGTCCTAGCAGATATATACAGTTAAGATTTGATTTTTCAGCTTTTTGAGACAGAGCATATGTTTTTAAACTCCTTTGTGACCCCTCCTCCCAGAATGCCTCTTTGAAATCTCTGTAAAAAATAGGTCTTAGGCTGGGCACGGTGGCTCACGCCTGTAATCCCAGCACTTTGGGAGCCCAAGGCGGATGGATCACAGGGTCAGGAGATCAAGACCATCCTGGCTAACACGGTGAAACCCCATCTCTACTAAAAATACAAAAAATTAGCCGATCGTGGTGGTGGGTGCCTGTAGTCCCAGCTACTCAGGAGGCTGAGGCAGGAGAACGGCGTGAACCTGGGAGGCGGAGCTTGCAGTGAGCCGAGATTGCGCCACTGCACTCCAGCCTGCGTGACAGAGCACGACTCCGTCTCAAATAAATAAATAAATAAATAATAGGACTTAGTAATTGTTTCTGCAGCACTATGGCAGTTAACGAGAACATGCACCATACAAAAGGCAACTAAAAGGGAGCCAACAAGAAAATGGTTGATTCATTTTTTAAGAAAGATTAGTTTGATGTAAAAAAGCACCGACTATGTTCAATACAAGAAATACTGGAAAGACACTAGTTACCAGGACTCAAGGAACCAAATTGCATCTGATAGCCTCAAGAGTCGTGTGTTTGAAGTGAATCTTGCTGATTTGCAGAATGGTGAAGTTGCAGTTAGAAAACTCAACCTGAAGGGCCGGGCGTGGGCTCACGCCTATAATCCCAGCACTTTGGGAGGCTAAGGCAGGCAGATCACGAGGTCAGGAGATCGAGACCATCCTGGCTAACACGGTGAAACCCTGTCTCTACTAAAAATACAAAAATTAGCTGGGCGTGGTGGCACACTCCTGTAGTCCCAGCTACTCAGGAAGGACTCCGGAGGCAGGAGAATCACTTGAACCCGGGAGGCGGAGGTTGCAGTAAGCCAAGATCACGCCACTGCACTCTAGCCTAGATGACAGAGCGAGACTCTATCTCAAAAAAAGAAAAAAAAAGAATTAAAAACTTAAAAGATAAGTGTTACTAGCTAATCGTGTGTTTTCCAGAAGACTGTTAGAGTTCAGGCTTTGCCATTTCTAGCTCATCATTATAGAGAACAGGGTTAGCACTAATGGTCAGTGAAGCAAGGGAAAGGAGTAACTTAAGTGAAGTTTATGATCACAGAGATCCCAGAAGGAATTCCTTTTTCTTCCTTTTGGCCACCACTGTGACTTGTGTGTAAACATTAGAAACCCTACAGTCTGTCCTGAAATGTTAAAACCTAATCCTATAATAGCCACTCAGTTTGATTGAGGATCATCACTGTAAGATATTTTTAATCCTTTGTATGTAGTTAATTTACTTTTAAGTAAGTACTTAAAATTAATAAAACTGGAGACTGCAGGGCATTAAACAGATCTGAGTTTTCTTATATCTTTTTTTATATAAAGAAATGGATTTTTAGTAGAGTCACACCATAACAGTTTCAGTGCTTTTTGATTAATGAAACTATTAAGTGATTCCCCACAGGCTACAAAGCCTGAACTGTAAAAGTAGAAAGAAAATCATAAATGTTAGTGGTTTTTAGTCATGGACTGGCCTGGGGTTAATGGTTTTCTGCAAGGTTGCTCTCAGTGCCAACTTATAATTGAAGTTTTGTTCAGAGTCATTTTTCTTTCAAAAAGCATTTGATAAAAGCAGTTTTTATTTTCCTTAGGTAACAAAAGAAGAAAGAACTTTTCAAGAAATTATGAAAAGTTACAGGAATCAGCCCCAAGCTAATAGTCACGTGAGTTACATTATTTCTCCTACTGTCCAAAAATAGATTTACTGTTTTCCACTGACAAGTTATATAAAAGGTAAACTGATTTTATAGTTTTAATATACTTCAGATTTTCTGTTTTAATGGATAACATTAAAACTCAAGAGATAATTTCATCAAAGGACAATTTCAGTAGAAGCCAGGAAATCTAACTGTTTCCGATTCATCCATATACTTTCATATACTTCTCATAAGTTCTGCCATTCTATTTGTTCATTTAATGAAAGATATGTATAATGGCTCACGCCTGTAATCCCAGCACTTTGGGAGGCGGAGTCAGGTGTATTACCTGAGGTCAGGAGTTCGAGACCAGTCTGTCTCTACTAAAAATACAGAAATTAGCCAGGCATGGTGGCACACGCCTGTAATCCCAGCTACTCGGGAGGCTGATGCAGGAGAATTGCTTGAGCCCGGGAGGCGGAGGTTGCGGTGAGCCAAGATTGTTCCACTGCACTCCAGCCTGGCCGACAGAGCAAGACTCTATCTCAGAAAAAAAAAAAAAAGATATGTATAATAATAATATTCTTTAATTATATAACTTTATTTTTTTAATGATATTTAAACCCAGTGAAATTTTAGGGTTCATTAACCTAACTACAGCTTCTTTTGCCATCTGCTAAGCACCCTAATGTTTGCATCTTTGAATAGATGTTAAACATTTCTGATTATATTGTTCTCTCTGTGGTGAAAATTGCATGAAACCTTTCAGTCATAGTAGCAGAGTGGACTGGCACACAATAAGCATTTAATGAATGTTAATGTCATATTGTTGTTATTATTGTACCTGAAGAACACAAGTAAATTACCTTAAGGGTTTGATCATTCAAGAACCTGGTTGCTCTGCTCTTAGGAAGCATAATGGTCTCTTCTCTGGCCCTGGAAATTGTAGCCAGAAAGAGAGTGAGAGTGGCCTAGATTGCAGACCAACACAGAGATGTGGCCTCAGTATTAGTAGTTATATCCCCTTCTAAGAGAGCTTTAAGCCCTAAAATACATTATAGCAAGCAATATAGAGACATTTGAAGAACCAAGTACAGGCATTTGTTATATCCTGTGATAAGCTAAGATTTTCTGGGCTTCTTCAGGAAAATCCCTCAGGAACAGAGCCTAGAAAGCTCTAGATTGTCCTTGAAGATCATTAAGGTGAGGTTAGTGTGAGTCAAAAATGGGCCAAGCCATGGCTCCCTGAATATCCGCTTAATACCAGTAACCTATAATATAGTACAAGGGGGAATGGATCATGCCTTTCCAGCTATCTCAGAGGTGAGATAGTTCAGGGGCAGGGAAGGGAAAAGATTTTCATGTGGCCATCTGAAAGGAGATGGGAATGGGCTGGGGGCAGAAAAACAAGCTGCTTTAAGAACAAACGACTCTTGGCCAGGCACAGTGGCTCACGCCTGTAATCCCACCAGTTAAGGAAGTCAAGGCAGGCAGATTGCTTGAGCCCAGGAGGTCAATGCTACAGTGAGCCATAATTGTGCCACTGCACTCCAGTCTGAGCCATGGAGTGAGACCCTGTCTCTAAAAAGAAAAAAAAAAGACCAATCGATTGTTGTGTAAGGAATTAAAAAGGAGGAATTAATTCAGGTCTTTTGTTGTTTGTTTGTTTGTTTTCTTTTGTTTTGTATTTGAGACAGAGTCTTGCTCTGTTGTCCAGGCTGGAGCGCAGTGGTGCAATCTCAGCTCAGTGCAACCTTCACCCCCTGGCTTCAAGCAGTTCTCCTGCCTCAGCCTCCCTAGTAGCTGGAATTACAAGTGTGTGCTACCATGCCCAGCTAATTTTTGTATTTTTAGTAGAGACGGGCTTTCACCATGTTGGCCAGGCTGGTCTTGAATGCCTGGCCTCAAGTGATCTGCCCGCCTTGGCCTCCCAAAGTGCTGGGATTACAGGTGTGAGCCACTGCACCTGACCAAACTCAGGTCTTTGAAGTTGCTTTTATTTAGTAAAACCCAATCATCAGTCTTTAGTTGCTATTTCTTCTGTTTTATAAACTAAGCCCATCTTAGATGGTAAGCTCTTCTCCAGTATCCCCTCTTTTATAGTATGTGTTATAATCTATGCTTACTAGAGCTAATAATATTTTACCCTTGAGTATCACTTATACAGACAAATAGTTTTTCATTGGCTTGATATTTTGCTCTTCTCACTTTGATTTTGTTTAACATGTACCTCTGTGACTGAGCAGTCCTTTTTTTCCCCTCTGGTGTGTAGGTATATAGAAGTGTTCTGCTGAAAAGTATTCCAAGAGAATTTGTGGCATATAATAAAAATATAAATGATGACTTTGAAATGATAGATTGTGGTAAGTTATCCAATTTAACATACTATATGTAAAACACATTGGATCACACTGTACATAATACAGTGGGTGTCAGACAACATGGAAATGTGAATCATGAGGAGGTGAGGTAGACAATACACACACGTTTTGAAAACAATTATGTTTGAGATTAGAATGTGCTGGTATAGTTTATTGAAACCATTAATTTGTCCCCCGTTAATTGTGTTTTGGAAGAAATTTTCTAGTCTACTTATACATGTTAATGAAACATATAAAAAAGACTTAATAAAATTCTTAAATCTGAATGACAGGGAAAACAAGGTAGCTGACAGTAATCTTCCCGAGGAGTCTATTAAGAAAATGTCCTGGCTGGGCGTGGTGGTTCACGCCTGTAATCCCAGCACTTTGGGAGGCCAAGGCGGTCAGATCACGAGGTCAAGAGATCAAGGCCATCCTGGCCAACATGGTGAAACTCCATCTCTACTTTAAAAAATACAAAAATTAACTAGTTGTGGGGTATGCGTCTGTAGTCCCAGCTACTCGGGAGCCTGAGGCAGGAGAATCACTTGAACCCGGGAGTCAGAGGTTGCAGTGAGCTGAGATCACCCACTGCACTCCAGCCTGGCAGCAGAGTGAGACTCTGTCGCACACACACACACAAAAGAAAATGTCCTGTTCATATAAGTATTATTTATAGGTAATTCTGCTACCACAGGCAAGACTGCACCCTCTTGCCACCATCATGCTAAGACTTCAGGCACTAGTAATCTTTTTTAAAGAAAAGAAAATCAAATGGTTAGTATTCATACACCTCTTCTGTCTACCTCCTTTCCCTTGTCTCATCTTTCCATGTATTTAAGGTGTATGTAATATATACATGTGTATATACTGTGATTTTTTTTTTGTTTTACTTTGTTTGAGATAGGGTTTTGTTCTGTCACCTACACTGGAGTGCAGTGGTATGATCATGACTCACTGCAGCATCGACCTCGCAGACTCAAGTAATCCTTCCACCTCAGCCTCCCGAATAGCTGGAACTACAGGCATGCGCCATCACCCTGGCTAATTTTTATATTTTTTGTAGAGACAGGATTTTGCCATGTTTGCTCAGGCTGGTCTTGAAATCGTGAGCTCAAGTGACCCGCCCACCTTGGCCTCCCAAAGTACTAGGATTACAGGCATGAGCCACTGTGCCAAGCCTAGGTACTGTGATTTCTTTAATGCCACAGTGTGAGATATTTAGGTCATTTCTCCTTTTTTCTTCTCTTTTCTTTTCTTTTCTTATCTTGTCTTGTCTTGTCCTCTCCTATCCCCCACTCTCCTTTCCTCTCTTCTCCCCATCCCCATCCCTTCTCCTCCCCTCCCCCTCCCCTGCCCTCCTTTCTCTTTTCTTTTTTCTTTTCTTTTCTTTTTTTCTTTTCTGAGACAGGATCTCACTCTGTTACCCAGGCAGGAATGCAGTGGCACAATCACGGCTTACTGCAGCCCTGACCTCCCCCGTTCCTTTCATCTCAGTCTTGCTGTCACACCCAACTAATTTTTTGTAGAGGTGGGATTTTGCCATGTTGCCCAAGTTGGTCTCCAACTCCTGGACTCAAGCAATCTCCCTACCTTGGCCTCCCAAAGTTCTGGGCTGACAGGTGTAAGCCACCATGCCTGGCCAGGTTGCTTCTAGTTACACACAGCTCTGTGATGAGTATCATTTGTAGCTTAAATATTTAGGCCACATCCTTAGGATAAATTCTTAAAAGAAAATCTGATGAATTAAAACAAGTTTTTAAATTATAAAAATATCCATAATCATTATGATGTCCACTGGGATATAAACTTTTAAGATTTCATTCACCAAAAAGATCTTTTAATAATGTCCTAGAATCTGACTTTTTGAGGATAATAGGCCAAACTCAATTCTTTTTACGTAAGTGTGTTATTCTGGAGCCTTTTCAAGGCAATGAGGAGTATATAAGACAGTAACCCTGGCCAGGCGTGGTGGCTCACACCTGTAATCCCAGTACTTTGGGAGGCCGAGGTGGGTGGATCATGAGATCAGGAGTTCGAGACCAGCCTGGCCAAGATGGTGAAACCCGTCTCTACTAAAACTACAAAAATTAGCCAGGTGCAGTGGGTGCAGTGGCAGGCACCTGTAATGCCAACTACTCAGGAGACTGAGGCAGGAGAATCACTTGAACTTGGGTGGCAGAGGTTGCAGTGAGCCAAGATCCTGCCACTGCACTCCAGTCTGGGTGACAGAGTGAGACTCCATCTCAAAAAAACAAAACAACAACAAATGCAGACAGTAACCCTGACAAACTATTAAAAAGCCTTTTTCTGTATTTGTTATACATGTTGCTTACCTATCTGGGGTGGTTTTTCTGTTCCTACAAAACCAGACATCAGGTTAGCTAGAAAGCTGTGGATCCCTTGCCTGTTTTGTGTTTTTTCTATGGGAAACTAACTGCTAGCAAGTATCTGAGCTACAAGAGCAGTGAAGTAGAGAGTAGAAGCAAAAGATAATAGATGATGTCGTTTTCTGTTTTGTTTTCTTTTTGATAAGTGTCTGCCAAAGAAACTTGAGGTGACTGAGAGTTCGCCACTTCCTGTATATATAGGTTTCAGATCAAATTCTGCTACACAATTTCTTTCTTTTTTTTCTTTTTTTTCTTTTTTTTTTTTTTTTTTTGAGATACAGTCTCACTCTTGTGGCCCAGGCTGGAGTGCAATGGTGCGATCTCGGCTCACTGCAACCTCCGCCTCCCAGGTTCAAGTGATTCTCCTGCCTCAGCCTCCCGAGTAGCTGGGATTACAGATACCTGCCATCACGCCCAGCTAATTTTTGTATTTTTAGTAGAGACGGGGTTTTGCCATGTTGGCCAGGCTGGTCTTGAACTCCGGATCTCAGGTGATCCGCCCACCTTGGCCTCCCAAAGTGCTGAGATTTCAGGCGTCAGCCACTGCACCTGACCTTTTGTCTGTTTGTTTGTTTGTTTTTTTGAGACCATGTCTTGCTCTGTCACCCAGGCTGGAGTACAGTGGGACAGTCACAGCTCACTGCAGCCTTGACCTCCCAGGCCCAAGTGATTCTCGGCTCAGCCACAGCCTGGCTAATTTTTATATTTTTTGTAGAGATGGGGTTTCACCATGTTGCCAAGGCCAGTCTTGAACTCCTGGGTTCAAGTGATCCGTCTGCCTTGGCCTCCCAAAGTGCTGGGATTACAGGTGTGAGTCACCGCACTCTGTCTTATATACAGTTATTAACTATATTTATTAGCAAATAAGCAAACAATCATTGTTACAGGTCCTGTACAGTGGTGGTGGCACGGGGCAGGGAGAATATCCAGTGATGATGAACTCAGGAATTCTGGCACTCATAAAGAGAGTGAGAGCACAGTGACTTACGTCTATAATCCCAGCACTTCGGGAGGCCAAGCCAGGAGGGTGGCTTGAACCCAGGAGTTCAAGACCATTGTGGGTAACATAGTGAGAGCCCATTGCTACAAAAAATTTTTTAAAAATAGCCACACATGGTGGTGAGCATCTATAGTCCAAGCTACTCAGGAGGCTGAATTGGGAGGTTGGCTTGAGCCCAGGATGTCAAGGCTACAGTGAACCATGATCTTGCCACTGTACTCCAGACAGAGCAAGACCCTGTCTCAAAAAAAAAAAAAAAAGAGAGAGAGAGAGAAAGTTATGTAGGAGGATATGCAATCAGACAAGTCTATATTCAGATAAGTCACCTTCCAGTTCTTAGAGCTATGTCTAGATGCTATGACCCAGATTTGGACACACCAAAGAACACCGACTTGGGAAGAACAGTTCTGGTTCTATAAACAAATTCATTATGGGTTGTAAAATAATTACTGTTTAAAAAGCACACACACAATTTATATATCCTATGCAGTAAGTTCATATATCCCAGTTCTATGTCTGACCACCACCCAAGGAAAAGACTTGCTCAAGAATGGGTGCCAAGATTTCAGATGCAGGATTCAGTCAACCTTACGGCTAGCATCAAGCAAATACCGTGGATCAGAATTCAGGGCTGGACACAGGACTTCTTAGAGCTTTTAGCCTTAACGTTATTATCCCTAAGAGTAAAGCCTAGAGACTTCACTGGATCTTTCATCACTTTCATGGCTATTGAGGGTAGTGTCTCAAATATTTTAACCAATCTGCTTATCTTAAATACTTTTTATTTCCTGAACATGAGCTCATTTTTAGCATTAGTCATACTTAATAAGCATTAACTATTTTTATCAGTAAAAACCCATTTCTGCCCGGACATGGTGGCTCACACCTGTAATCCCAGCACTTTGGGAGACCAAGGCGGGTGGATCACTTGAGGTCAGGAGTTCGAGACCAGTCTTGCTGACATGGTGAAACCCCATCTTTACTAAAAATACAAAAATTAGCCAGGCATGGTGGTGAGCACTTGTAATCCCTGCCACTTAGGAGGCTGAGGCAGGAGAATTGCTTGAACACTGGAGGCTGAGGTTGCAGTGAGCTGAGATTGTGCCACTGCACTCTAGCCTGGGCAACAGAGCAAGACTCTTTCTCAAAAAAAAAAAAAAAATTCTGACTTTAAGTATGTTAATGAGCAAAGCATTGGTCATCGATTGAGATATGCCTAACAGAAACTGTTGAGTGGAGAAAGAATTTCCTGATTAAAACACCCGCTCACTCCTCATGGGCTATGAATTCTTCATTGTCATGTTAGCAGACCACTCCAGAGCGGCAGTCTTAATTAGAATACTTGTGAGACCTAGGTTATAGCTTAACCTAAGTAACACAAACGTAACACTGTACTCAAGTGTATTGTAGTTAACTGAAAACTTTACATTACTTCCTTAGAAACTTATTTTACGGATTAAAAATAATTATATTTAGGCTGGGTGTTGTGGCTCATGCCTGTAATCTCCCAGCACTATGGAAGGCTGAGGCAAGAGGATCCCTTGAGCCCAGGAATTAAAGACCAGCAAGAGCAACACAGCAAGACCCCCATCTGCAACAAATGAAAATAAAAAATTAGCTGGGCATGGTGGCTGACACCTGTAGTCCCAACTACTTGGGAGACTGAGGCAGGAAGATCACTTGAATCCAGGAATTTGAGATTGTAGTGAACTATGATCGCACCACTGCACTTCAGCCAGGGTGATAGAGCAAGATCTTGTCTCTAAAAATAAAAAATATAACTGTATGTATATGTATGTATGTGTGTGCATACACACACACACACACACACACACACACAGTCATGTGCCGTATAATGATGTTTCAGTCAGTGATGGCCCACACATACAACAGTGGTCCCATAAGATTATAATGCTGTATTTTTACTATACCTTTTCTATGTTTAGATATATTTAGGTGCACAAATACTTGCCATTGTGATACAATTGCCTGTGGTATTCAGGACAGTAACATGCTGTACAGTTTTGTAACTTAGGAGCAATATGCTATACCATTCAGCCTAGGTGTGTAGTTGGTCATACAATCTAGGTTTGTGTAAGTATACTCTATAGTATTCTCATGACAAAATCATTTCAACAATGCATTTCTGAGAAGATAACCCATCATTATGCAATACACAACTATGTATACACATATGCATATATATAATATTTAATACAAGCTTTGTTCATAGTAAGGCCTTAGTAATAGCTATTATTTATAAGCAATATCAAATTTATTATATTAATGAGTATGGTTTTTTTAGCATTAGTCCCACTTAATAAACCATTCACTATTTTCATCAGTAAAAACCCATTTCTGGCCGGACATGGTGGCTCACACCTGTAATCCCAGCACTTTGGGAGACCGAGATGGGATCTCACTGTGTTTCCCAGACTGGTCTTGAACTCTTGGGCTCAAGTGATCCTCCCACTTCGGCCTCCCAAAGTGCTGGAATTACAGGCGTGAGCCACCACACCTGGACGAGTATATTTTTTTTAATGTCTTTTTTTTCTTTAGTTTTTTTAAATTTTAGAGATGAGATCTTGCTCTGTTGCCCAGGCCGGAATGTAATAGGGTAATCATAGCTCACTGCAACCTTGATTTCCTGGGTTCAAGC